TAAATTTTGCCAACTAGATCATTTACTTTTCAAGTTCAATTGATGTTAATAAAAATAACTATAATCATTACAGGCAAAGCTAGCTATGTACTTTAAAGTTTAGTTCATAAATATACTTGTGCAATACGAATTGTGAAACGCATGCAATATTGATAGGCATGCTAATTAATAATTTAAACATGCAAAAACAAACAATAGCTTAATGTTCTAATCAATTTACATAATATAAAGATTAAATGTGCCGGGGATTTATGAGGTGCACCCCCTGTATGCGTGAATGTCATAACAATATCCCTGAAAATGTCATATTAGGGGTAAAACAGAGTCTAATACATGAATGCATAGAGTTTTACAATCAGACAATCAGTATTATCACAGAATATTATACACAGTATTAAGAATCAGAATATTATACATGAGATTACATTACTCGAATTCTTATCCATAATTACAATTATGGCAAACTTATAACTTTGTCTAAAAATAGTAAATCAGAATATACCCAATTTTATAACCTGAGCTAGTGATAAAATAAGGTGTATTAGTAATAATGCCGAATACAATGTGTATAATATGTAGAAATCAATTTTAATATAGCATTGCTATCAGTATTACAAATAATAACCAGTTTTTCCACATTACGTCCAATACATGCATACATGCCATTCACTGGCATTAATACACTATTATTATAGTGAATGAAAAAAAACTACTAAATATATAAATGATATGTTAGTTTTCAATGTCACAGACAGTAGTCTTATTGAATGCGCATTCAATTATATTGATAGGAAAGTTAGCATACATTCCTATGGGCACTGGTAGGCTGGTAGCAAAAAAGTGTTTGTGCTATTAATATGAGTCAATGAATTTTTCCGACACATATACTGATGGATATAATTGATTAAAATGGTTAGGAATATATGGACTAACCTTTGGTCATATCACAGGTGATTGTGGATGAGATCCCGGTGTATGGATGGGGCAGTACTTTGTGAGGGGACTATGACTTTGGTGTAAGAGTTAAGTGCATAAAATTGGCTAAAAATGTGCAAAACAGGTAAATATATCGCAAATATCGTGTATACATATTTATTTAGTGCCGTAGTATTGGTCGATGTAAGTGCTCAGGGCCACCTTAATTAAGTTTGTGTAAGTGTAAGTGTGTCTCTGTCTATTGATATATATGACTTGTACTTGTAGTTTGTAGGAATTCCTTGAAAGCTACAGTTCCTACTCGTTGTATCGTGTATGGTCGTAGGCGGTGTGTGCACTGACACTACTATTTATTATTGAATTCTTGTATTCAATTCAGTAAACAATGTGCTATTCATTTACATACACTCTGTTTGCCAATATAATGATTATTGTTTTAAAAAGTTTTTTGTAGCGTTTTTTGATTGTTTTTTAACTTGTAATTTATTTGAATGTAATGAATGATTGTCTATTTTTATGATTCATTCATTCATTATGTTCTTATATAATATTAAATTCGTGTATTTTTAGTAAATTTTAACCAAAATATAAAATAAATAGTAAACATGTTAAAAAATACTATGCTATATTATCCTCAACCAAAATATTTTATATTGATTTTATAATTAAGTTGTTATAATAAGAGAATATTTAAAAATTACAGCTTGCTTATAAAATTATATGTTTGTGTAATATTTATTTTAGTAATCTAAATCTAAATATACTATTTATTATCTCTGATACCTGTTGTATCTAGTACAGTAGAAGCTCCACAATTCTCAAGTTTATATTATTCTTAAAATTTATTTTAACCATGATAAAAAATAATTCATTCACTGGTCTTTATTGTTTAGAAGTAAAAAATGCTAATACTGTAATAAAATCATATTCAAAATTACAGTAATGTGAAAATGTCTCTGTTAACATGTATTACAGTACTTACGGTAATAATCAAGTTTGGCATAATTAATATTTAATATGCTCATCTTTAAGGTTTAAAATAGTAATCTAAAACAATATTAGATAATTAAGCAATTATAATTTAAAAATATTTGAAATACCAAAAATAATAACGTATACTGGTGTTGGTAATTATGAAACAGATTTAAATAAAATAACAAAAATATGTTCATAATTACTAGTTATCAAGGTATATATTTGCAATGTTAATAAACTAATTATAAAATTTTAATTAACATTCATAACAAATGTTTGAGAACATGCTTACAAAATATAAATAAAAACAAAACTATTTTATAAATATAAGCAAATGTTTGGCAAAACTTGAGAGTAGTTTAGAAAAATTCTCATCAAATTTGCATATATTTTGCGGCCAAATATGGGTTCAATAAATACGCTCTCAATCATAACATGCCTTACATTTGGTATACAATTAATTGAAAAGTCTCTATAAAATAACTGTTAATATAATTATATATATTTATAGCGCTTATAAGCAGCGGCAGTGGCGGGGGTTCGCCATCACCTCCAGGTATACGTAAACACGACATTTGAATTGAATTTAAATATTTGCGATCCAAAAATGTGTGTTTATTTGTACAAACGTATAGCGAGTATCAATCTATTGGCTGTCAATAATTATAACGAGTGTGAGGGCAAAGACACAAATAACTACACATTCATCAGGACCTGGTCTCAGACCCTTCCCTGTACTGATGACAGGGATGGCACCGCATGGGTTGGTAGTAATGATACGCTAAGTGCCTGTCCACCTAACGGCCCCCGTGTTGTATACCAATTGGAAAAGTTAGCCAACTCGACATACCCACAGGGAGGTATGCATTCAGACAAAATGCTAGCTAATATTTATTGCATTTTATTATGTTTATTTTAATTATATTAAATTATAATTACTCTGGATCAATTTTAGCATTCGTACAAATAGAGACACTGTATTTGGTAGTAAGTGGTCAGGGACCTTTGCAGGGAAAGTATGTCTACTCCAAATATATTATACTACTGGATGTGTATCAGAAAGCGTGTACTACGGTATTGGGGTTGGGCTACACGTCCACTAACAATGCCGTCCTATTGATTAGCGATAATTTAAATCTTAATGTCTTTGTATCGCCTGCCGGTGCTTACGACCAGTTTAAAAAGGGCTGCACCACTGTATGCAAGGGATCGGGATTCACTGTATAACACGTTTATTACTCTTTTATTTTTTAACATTAAATGCAAATTATTTATGTGTTTAGAAAACATGAAATAAAACATATTTATTATGTATAATAAAATTAATAATTAAAAAAGTTTGAAAATTATTTCCAATAGTATTTTATTGCAATTCTTATTATAAAATAAATTACTTGTATTTTACAGAATATTCTTATAATCTTTATAAAAAATAATATTTTTTGATTTGAATAAAAGTATTAATTAAAAATTTTTTGATTTATAACATTTGTTACACAACTGCACACAAATAGCAAAATAAATCTATTATTAATACAGACGGGAAGTTTTAATATCGTCACAAAACACATTATATCATAAGCACAGTATAAATATAATAGGATTTATTTAAACAAAAGGATACAGTTGTCAGTAAAATGTTTGTTAAATAAAAACTATATTTTATGCGTATCGTACTCAAAACTTGTGTATACAATTACCTAATAGAGCTTAGATGTGTGGGCTGTATTCATTTATTAATAATTGAATTCATTTAATAAAGTCATGCAAGATAAGCTTGGTAACATGAAAAAATTGCTATAAAAATATAAATTTTAACCATTAAAGTTTATAGTAACTAAATATTTACAATATTAACTTGGAATATTATATAAATTGCATAAATGTTGACAATTACTAATGATATTTACCAAGGACAACTGTTTAATAGATAGGATATTTGACAAATAGTTTGTTACAACTAGTATTGCACAAGTATATTTATGAACTAAACTTTAAAGTACATAGCTAGCTTTGCCTGTAATGATTATAGTTATTTTTATTAACATCAATTGAACTTGAAAAGTAAATGATCTAGTTGGCAAAATTTAATTTTCATAGACATCGTTAGACAATGTTAGACATCTAATTGGTGTTGAACATGCAACATCATAATTATGGTGTATAACCGCCATAATAACATAATGTATGATCGATACCATTAATAATTAATAGTATGCTGTACAAATAAAGTTTATTAAACTAAATACAATAAAAGCAATGTTTGTATAGTAAGCATATTGACAATGACCAAGGGTATGTTCGGTATTAAGCTCGCATACATTGACAACAATCGTACTGGCGTATATAAAACACAATAAATGAACTTGAGTAAACTTATCATGAACAATGAAACACCGGGGGCACAGTTGTAAAGCATACCAGACGTAGCGTATGGCGGGGCCCTAACCCCCCAGAAATGGGCCAAAGCGGGGATAAAACCCCAGAAAACTCGTTATTTGTTTATATGTTTGACAAAAATAAAAATCTAATAATTTTCATACAATTCGTGAACTCGTATTGAGATGTGGTTTTCGGATCACAGATAACACACATTACACACAATCCGTGCACTCGTATTACAACATCCATATGACCGTACAGTCTATCAGTCATTACACGAGAAATGAATCGACAATTAATTAATAATAATGACAATGAGACGTAACACGAGTGTAAATGATCCCGGGGTTCAACCAGAGCTCCTCCATGAGATGAACCGGATTTCCCCGCCAATTAACACACCGCTATTTGACACAGGCTAATCTAAACACACCATACAACCGGTCCGTGTTAGCGTTAGTGATTAACACACATATTACATACACGCTATTACTGTTAACACGCAAAATGTGTGCATCGATACCGCACTGCATATAACCAAATGCTTTACGTATATATTAAGCACTCATTTATGCATTCATTTGTCAATTTGTGTATTACTATTGCATTAATTTCTATAGTAATTAGCCGTAAATCATAATATAGTTTGTGTTATAATAAGTAAAACTAATAATAACTATATATTTGTAATCCGATCGTAAAACTGATAACAAGTATACAAAAAAATAATACAAAGTTTTTTCATATAAATTAGTTTTGATTTGAATTGATTTTTGTGTTGTGTTTTGGATTTTGTGCTCAAATTTTGTTTTTCATTGAGTTTTTCGTTTGATTTCTTAGTTTTGGTTTTGATTTCGAGATTTATTTCTGTGTTTTAAATGCCATTCAAAATCAATTAATTACAAAATATATATACATTTCTCTCCCATTTCTATACCATTAATCACACAATTACTCAATGGATGTACTCAATGGTAACCACCAATCCGTGGATCCACTCAATCATCACACCACTGATGACCACTGTCTCGATGATGACCACCAGAGACCGCAATCGCCACCGCATCCGGAGCTCAGCGCCGATACCACCGATAATAGCGATTGTATTGATGATCGTAAGGACGAGACATCCGTCACGACAACCG